TGTCCAGGTGTGTCCAGGTGTGTCCAGGTGTGTGTGGTGTGTCCAGTGGTGTGTCCAGTGGTGTGTCGAGGTGTGTGTGTGTGTGGGGGTGTCCAGGTGTGTCCAGTGGTGTGTCCAGGTGTGTGTGTGGTGTGTCCAGATGTGTGTGTGGTGTGTCCAGTGGTGTGTCCAGGTGTGTGTGGTGTGTCCTGTGGTGTGTCCAGTGGTGTGTCCAGGTGTGTGTGGTGTGTCCAGTGGTGTGTGTGGTGTGTCCAGTGGTGTGTCCAGGTGTGTCCAGTGGTGTGTCGAGGTGTGTGTGTGTGGTGTGTCCAGGTGTGTCCAGTGGTGTGTCCAGGTGTGTGTGTGGTGTTTCCAGTGGTGTGTGGTGTGTCCAGGTGTGTGTGTGGTGTGTCAGTTGTGTGTCCAGGTGTGTCCAGTGGTGTGTCGAGGTGTGTGTGTGTGGTGTGTCCAGGTGTGTCCAGTGGTGTGTCCAGGTGTCTGTGTGGTGTGTCCAGATGTGTGTGTGGTGTGTCCAGTGGTGTGTCCAGGTGTGTGTGTGGTGTGTCCAGGTGTGTGGTGTGTCCAGGTGTGTGTGGTGTGTCCAGTTGTGTGTGTGTGGTGTGTCCAGGTGTGTGTGTGGTGTGTCCAGTTGTGTGTTGTGTGGTGTGTCCAGGTGTGTGTGTGGTGTGTCCAGGTGTGTGTGTGTGGTGTGTCCAGGTGTGTCGGTGTGTGTGTGTGTCCAGTTGTGTGTGTGTGTGTGTGTGGTGTGTCCAGGTGTGTGTGGTGTGTCCAGGTGTGTGTGTGGTGTGTCCACTGGTGTGTCTAGTGGTGTGTGGTGTGTCAACAGTGGCGTGTCCGTGTGTTGAATAGGGAAGAGCGACGCTCACAACAACGAGCGGAGCGCTGGGCTCCGCTCGTCAGCAGTGCCATGTTCTGGTTCACAACTGCAAACCATCTGTTTCTAGGCCTGCCTTTCAGATTGCACCCTGTCCCATGTTCATCGCCAAGTAGTTTTCCTTTCTCATGATATCACCTAGCCATCGGAGTCGACTGTCAGGGTGTCCGATGTGGGCACCACTCTTGCCTTCTTACTTTTCGTCAACAAGCAGACATCCTGTGCTCAGCATATCCATGTGCGCTGTTGACAGCGTGATATGCCGTGATGTGTTTAGGATTCCGCCTGGCACTCCTGCAGATGCTAGTTTCACGTCACAAGCAGGAGAACCTGGCACATGCTCGTGAGCTGATATCGCGCGCAGCGCAGAATGGTGCACAGCTCGTCTCACTCCCGGTATCACGTGTGCCACATCACACCCCGCACCACACTGCACTCGCCTATATCTATATTCTTAGGTTTTTTCGGTAAAGTCACGTAGGTAAAAACTTTAAAAAGTAAAATAAAATAAAAATCACGACGTTTCGGAGGCAACACAAGCTTCCGTCTTCAGGTGGTACCGTCACAGCCACGACAGCTGTATCAATTAAGGAGAGATTGCAGAAGCTACCACTCCGTTATATAATGGTTGGAGAAGGTGGTGGGGCAACCATTATATAAACGGAGTGGTAGCTTCTGCAATCTCTCATTTACTTGATACAGCTGTCGTGGCTGTGACGGTACCACCTGAAGACGGAAGCTTGTGTTGCCTCCGAAACGTCGTGATTTTTATTTTATTTTACTTTTTTATGTTTTTACCTGCGTGACTTTACCGAAAAAACCTAAGAATATGAATCATTGCAGTCACGAAAGCTTCAAATCTCGCTATATCTCCGCGTACCACCACCCCACAATGCAAGCCGTGTATAACATATGAGGGTGGCCCTACACCACGTCGACTGTAATGGGAAAACATAACTCACTGGCCCACTTTGACGTGTATCCCCCACTCGGCTTCCTTCAAGTCGTATAGACTGCTGGGACCAGTTCAGGACTGCTGGAACTGGTGGGGTAGACTGCTGGGACCAGATCAATGCCCATTTTAAGGTTTCACATACTATTCTTAGGTTTTTTCGGTAAAGTCACGTAGGTAAAACATCAAAATTAATGAAAATAAAATAAAAATCACGACGTTTCGGAGGCAACACAAGTCTCCGTCATCAGGTGGACCGTCACAGCCGGATTAGCTGCATCCGGCTGTGACGGTCCCACCTGATGACCGAGACTTGTGTTGCCTCCGAAACGTCGTGATTTTTATTTTATTTTCATTAATTTTGATGTTTTACCGACATGACTTTACCGAAAAAACCTAAGAATATGAATCCTTGCAGTCACGAAAGTTTCAAATCTAGTTTCACATACTCTTTCGCAGTGTAATGTCATAGTTAAAGAAGTACACGCTCAATGTGGTGTCTTCACTTAGAGTGGACGTTTGTCAAGGAGGAATACTCTACTTTGGAAAAACATCTGTAGCAAGTTGGAACAATCTAAGATGATATTGCATCAAGGCAGGATGTGATTGTAGGTATGACCCCTTTGCGACCCCCGCGTGGTGCATGCAGGAATGTTTCAACTGCCCGTACGGGACGCAGTATTTTGGCGAGTATGCGGAGACGGTTCCCGGAGAAACGAGCAACATGATTGCGGCGCTGGCCGCCGAGCACCGCATCACCATCATCGGAGGTGAGCGTCTTACCAGTGTCTCTCGATTATTTTCTGTCAGTCAACACATGGCAGCTGTTGATGGGCTGGATGAAGTTCTTCTACTCTTTCCTATCCTGATCGTGAGAATCGCTTCCTGTAAAAAAGTTTTCTGACTGTTAAGGCTTCTTCTTTGATGCCATAATTCCACCACTTGTACGGGCAGCCTCTACTGTTTGTCCTTCCACATGGCAGTACAAGGAGATCGATGGTAATATGTTGGCCACCAATCGATGTAAGCCTGGTCCACATTTTTTGTTGTCACTAGATGTGTGTTCACAAAGACGCCTGCTAAAATAGCACATCCTGGCCACCTCACTGCCCAACCCTTGCCTCCAGTGTTCTGATTATAGGCATACAACACACAATGCACGACTACACATGTCATATTTCTCATCCTTGGAAATATTTAACAAAGATTATGCAGCTCATTATTCACTGGGAAAGGCTGCAAAAAGATATCAGCTTTGAAATGTATGTTGAACTTCTTTAACAACATAAAAGCTACTGAAGATGGTAGAGTTGATATCCCCACATATTTCTGTTGTCGAGTGAAGATGCATTTTGCTCAACGTTTTCACATTCTGTTTTTTTTTCCAGGGTCAATCCCAGAGCGGTCAGGGGATCGTCTATTTAACACCAGCCTCGTGTTTGGACCGGATGGCAAGCTGTGTGGGAAATTCCGCAAGGCACGCATACACATAGCAATCATTGCCCCCGACTGAACACTCTACAGAACACCCCTGAAAATGAGATACAGTGAATCTTTTCATGGGCAAACAAACGTAATCATCATAATTTAAGAAAGTTACACATCATAATGATGGTGGCGATTGATGTTTTAAAATTCCTTTAGATGCTGATGTTGGCTTTTATTATGATGGAAATTCTGTTGTAGGTGTTGATACATATAATTTTTGTCATATTTGTAGTGGCAGGCCACTTGGATTCACTCCCTGACAGTTGAACCAGTCCTGTGCACCCTTTTTCACCAACCCATATGAACTTGCGTGGTAAAGCATGGTTGAACAACCCCAGAATGCTGATCATAATTCAACTGATTGTCTTCTGCAGATGCATCTCTTTGACATTGACATTCCGGGAAAAATCACTTTCAAGGAGTCGGAAACGCTGAGCCCTGGAGAGGAACTGACAGACTTCACCACTCGTAAAATCATGCAACATCGCACTGTTCAACACACAAACCGTCACTTGATACACCAACATCTCACCGCACAACACTGTACCTTTACAGTCTTGTTTATGGTATGGAGTGCCGTACGTGCAGTAGGACATTGCTTTAGGTGATGTGGTTTTGTGTGTAATATGGGTGATGTATGTTGTGACCATCATGTATAAAACAGGCATTATAGGCCACTGCGAGGTTAACTCATCCATTGTTACACAGTATGTCTATTCACCCAAGTCGATGCTCCCCACTGTCATCAACCAGCACTTACCAGCGTGGTGAAGTATGCTCAAATAACTTGACGATATGCATGGTGTGGAGAGGCCCTCATCCAGAAGTGGATTGAAATGAGAGCTGTACCATGGTGTGGTAATGGGATTGTATGCAGTGTTGTTATAACGCTGCCACATTGCCCAGGTGTGTGGTCTTTTTCATTCACTGTATCGTATTGTGTCCTGTACAGCAATGTGGTAAAGTCGTAGTGCTTGTTATATCAAGACATTGGCCCCTGCAATAGATATATACAGGAGATGGCAGTGTAGCAACAAAATCATTTTTTGACTGTACTAAACTTTATTTCCATGTCGATTAACCCCACCTTTACTAACCCATGCTGACCAGTGTGGTGACGTATGGTCATATAACTCTCCTACCTGCATGGTGCGGAGGAAGCCCTCGTACAGCAGTGGACTGACAAACAAACGGCTGTCCACATACTATTAGCTCAGAGCAACAACGACGTAATCAGTATTACCACCGTGCTAAGCAGGGAAACACTTTGACTTGCGGTATTGGCGTGTGGTGTTGTTAGTTACGTGGTGTTTCTCTGCCGTGTTGTATGTGACATTCTGCGGTGTATTGTTTGGGTATTGTATGTGGTGTGCTGTTTTACGTTGCTTGTGGCGTGGTCTCCGTTGTGTTGTCATAAAGCAGGCCAATATGTATGTATACCGACTATAATCACCCAGGAATGTCCTTCATGCTCGTGACGTCACTCCACATCGCCAGCCCCCCTCATTAATATTCATGAGAAGGTGACGTCCTCCAAATGGACACCCCCCACCTCATTAATAATCATGAGCAGGTGACGTCACTCCACATTGAACAGCCCCCCTCATTAATAATCCTGATAAGGTGATGTCCTCCAATGGACACCCCCCCCCCATTCATAATAATTAGCGGCTGACGCCACTCCACATGGGCGGCTGAGGCGCCTCCTCTCCCCTCCTCGGCATCAACTCACAACCCTCACTACAAAGGCAGAACCCTCACGTCACGCGATCTCCGTAACGCTGTTGAGACATTAAAGTAAAAAGGACGTCGTGATGAACAAGGGATTATAACCTTAAAATGAAATAGGTCTGTGTTACCGCGCCCTTACAAATTGCACGTGCATTAATGCAATGAATATCATGTCGCGGTATGCTCTTCGCCTGAAAGTTTCAGATTTACTGCAATACACCCATCCTTGGATGGGCAAAAGGCTAGTTATATTTGTTTAACTTATATCGGAGGTACGCTGGCCTGCCTTCTGGGAATGTGGAATTTCCGTCACTGCCTCGGGGTCATCAACAGTGATGTGCTGCGTTGTGCTGTGGCGTGGTGTGCATGCGTAGCGTTCTGCAAGGTCGGGATTGCCATTTGCTACGACCTTCGGTTCCCAGAGCTCACGCGTCTCTATGCTGACCGGGGTGAGTGGTGCCGCGTGTGCATTGGGAGCCATTCCATTTGTGTGCCCAATGGAAACAGCTGTACTATTCATGCACTTAGCTCCCTGGACTTTAATGACGTCTGTCATTGTGTAAGGACATATTTAGATAATTGTTTTATGGATTAGCTTGTTTCTCATCGCAGGTGCTGTTCAGTGAGTAATGTTCCATGTGCATTTAGACTGGACGACTCCCACTGTTTAATCATCACCATGTTTTAATGTGAATATGTTACCAGCATGTACATTGTAAAGTAACCGTACAGGCTGGCAGTTTGTAAGTGCAAACAAGTGTTGACTTGCATGTGTAAAGACTGCCCCCTGCTTGTGTGTGGGTCAGGATGTGTAAGAGTTAATTGTGTTCTTAGGTTTTTTTCGGTAAAGTCACTTGGGTAAAAAATTAAAATTAATAAAAGTAAAATAAAATAAAAATTACGACGTTTCGGAGGCAACACAAGCTTCCGTCTTCAGGTGGAACCGTCACAGCCACGACAGCTTGATACGTGACTTTACCGAAAAAAACCTAAGAATATGAATCCTTGCAGTCACGAAAGCTTCAAATCTAGAAGTTAATTGTGTGTCTGTGTGTTTAGGCTGTCACCTGCTCGTGTGCCCTGGAGCGTTCAACATGACTACGGGGCCCGTCCACTGGGAGCTTTTGCAGCGTGCTCGGTGCGTTCCGAATTGATTTGTGCTTGGGATGGACAACTGCACTAAGCAACACCAGATATGGGCTCCCAGTAACCCACCCCTGCAGTGGCAGTGTTGTGTGTGTGTGGTGTGAATTGTATGGTGCTAACGTGTGCAACAGAGGCATTGCTATATAGTGCAGTATGGTAGGGTGTGGTAGCACTCTGTGGAAGTGATGTTGCATTAATGCTGTGTTTTGTGGTTACGGTGTTTGGTCTAGTGTATATTTAAGTGTCCCTAGGACGTGTATGCAATGAATGAAATATTATATAAGGTTTGCTTGGTGTTGCCATGGTGTGGTTTACGTTATGGTGCAGTGTATGGGTGCTTGCACTGTAGTCTAGGATGTGATGGTTGTGCGGAATGGCGTGGTAATTTTGTGTTTGCCATGTCCAGTGGTCACTGTGATGTCATGTGTAGCTGTGTTGTATCACTACTCATAGTGTGTATTTTATGGGGTCTTGATTGTATGGTGTCTGCTGTATGATGTAGTTCTGGAGTTGTGTACATGTGGTTTATTGTATAGTGATGGTGTTTGTGTGTGTTATGGTGTGTTATATGTTGTACAGGGCAGTTGATAATCAGATGTTTGTGGCCACGGTGTCTCCGGCAAGAGATGAAACAGCGTCGTACGTGGCCTGGGGACACAGCACCGTATCCTCACCCTGGTAACCCCTCCACACCAGCGTTACTCCACACCCTGCCACTCCGCACCATGCATGCTATGTCATTTGTTTTTTCCTCTAATGCGTCTAGATTATTTAGATAATTTTGCTGCTATAAATTTCTACATGATAAGCCTGAGCTATTATTTGTGAGCAGGTCGCTACTGAAAAAGAAGCTAATGGCTCGGTGGGTCTTGCTTGCTGGGGCAGAAGTGGTTTAGTTTTGTTTGTCTATAGATTTGGGTGGTTTTATTGCCTTACCTGTGCTCAGCACTCCTATCGTTTTTGTATTTGTTGTTGTAACATTCTGACATGCCGCTACTGGACATCTGTGGAAAATATCTTTATAGCTCATCGGATTCCTCCAGTATAAATACATATTCTGATTTGTATAGTGCTGTAGTTGGCATGGTTTGGGGTGGTTGGTTTGGTACGCTGTCTCCTAGTTTGGTTTGATGTATTTCCTGTGTGATTGTGTCGATTTTTCAGGGGTGACGTTATTGCTAAAGCTGGACCTGGGGAAGAAATTGTGTATGCTGATATTGGTAAGTATCTCATTTTCACCACAAATGCATAACACATCACTACCACAATTCAGGTAATAAAAACAGCCTTTGCATGACTGTCACATCGTACACCACATCTCGGACTAACATTGTGTTTAACAACCCTACCCTCACTTCATATATACAACTTTCCCCTCTTATTAAGTGCAGCTCAGAGACACAGCAATAGTTGCTTTGCGAGTGTAATTGAGTTGAAGGTGGCATGCGTGTGTTGTTGTGTGTTTGTATGTGTCTGTTTAGATTTAAACAGAATGGAAGAGGTGAGACGTCAGATTCCGGTGCGGATTCAGAGGCGCTGTGAGCTGTACCACTCGCTGGCAGCAGCAAAACCACAATAACCAACCTCGGCTAACAAACAAACCATCAACTCCCCCACAAGTGCAATTCCACCACTCTCCTTTAACCACACTTAATCCACCCTCAACCATACACCGCCACCAGATACACCACCAACACAACATATAACTACATTTAACCATAAACTGCACTGCCGCATAAACTAGGCAAACAGCAAGACATTAATCGATTCATTATGAAAAAAATATTCTCTCCCAACACATGCATTGATTGCTGCGTGATAAGATATTTTTTTTTCCGATTGATATATGCCATGCATATTTGTTCACCTAACTCCTGCAGCCACAAGAGCTGCTACATGCACCACACTTAAAATAAAAAAGAATCAACTGTTGCGTCGAATTGCATCCCCACAATTGTAATGTATCGAATCTTGAGGGGGGTGAATTGTTGCAGGCCTATTATTGATTGAGATGAAGCACTTTATAATAATGGCATTGCTGTGATGGTCTGCTTGATTATTGAAGGGGAGCAGAATAAAATTAGCATCGACCTTGAAAACCCGTTTTCACAGATCTGTCTCCTTCACTCAGCATCGCACACCCACAGCAGCCTGCGTTGCGCTCGGCTGAATGTGTACTCTTGTGTGCTATTTAACTTGCCGATCGAACTCCACACATCCCTCCACGAGTTAACCATGTTATGTGTAACCCTTATAAGAGCATTTTATGGCAATCTTCTCCATTGGTGGCCCTGAGCCCGGGGTTGAAATTCCTACCGTCCCTCGGCATGGCCAAGTTTAGAACAATTATTGTTGAAGCTGATCACAGTGTGGTATTAATGTTATTGATCTTAGGAGGGATGATGAACTGAGTTGATCACTGACTGGGAATAGAAACCATGGCCCTTTAAGTTGGTTGCAAAGAACCAGTGGGGCTGTTTAGAGTACAGGACACAGTCGTACAACAAGACAAAGACCCCCCGTATAGCCTTAACAGACTGTAGGGGCAAGTACTGTTACTGAACACCTATGAAGGCCGGCACAGCACACAAGGGGGTGGGGTGGCCAGCACACCGCCCGGCCGCCTTTGTTTTACGCACTGCACAAGGTACTCATTTGAGGCTGAGTCGACCTAGGGGAAGACCCAATGACCGGTTCAGATAATCGTCACCACTGGCGTTGGTCGCCGTGAGCGCAGCGCGCTAACCACTACACTACCGCTCCCCCAGTGCACATGCTGCCGCTGGTGCCACCACTCGGCAGCGTCCTGAAGCGCATCTATGACAGATGCCGGTTAATCGAGTATCCTGGGTGGCACACCTGTCAAACCATACGGTTTAACCGTATTCTTGTACAGGGAAATTTGAGTTTTTAGGTCCATATACGGCGTACAGCCATTTCAATACGGGCACAGAAAAAAAAATTGGTCTATTTCTTTGTGTTTCTCCTTGTGATGAGACTGTCGGATAAACGTTGAGATTTATAAGGGCACGGGATGACCAATAAGATCCGAATTGGTCTGTAATAAGGTAGGCACTGATAATGGATTGATAGGTGTGAGATGGTAAAGTTTCGGATAGCAGAGCTTTGCTGTAGTATGGTTGTACAAAACGCAAACACTCGCGTAGAATTGCAATACTCCTCGACCAGGTGAAAAACATTCATGCTGCTCAGCTTCGTGGAAAGAACCCGGAATATCTTACAACACACCGGGATGTGACTAAAAGAGGTGTTTGTAAAAGTCTCATCCGCTGTTAAGGAATTATAGTTCACACAACTGTTGTAGCGAAAACTTTGCACGGTTGTACTTGGCACTGGCGGTCCGCGTCGTCTTCAGATTTAACGCGTGAGATTTAGTGTTATTACACTTGTTGTTATTACACTTGTTTTTATTACACTTTTTACTCAGTGAAGCCTCAACGACGTCATTGGACCTTCTTTGCCAGTACCAAAATATAACAATAGGATTTTCCCCCTTTTTTCTGGCAACAAAACTGAAACCTTTTTACAGGGATTCATGTCTGCATTCACCAAAATACTTGCAGTCAAATGCAAGCAAAGAACACACTATGCTAATATATGCATTGTCCTTGAAACTGATTTGTCCACACCAAGGGACGGCTTTCTTTTGAGCCTCGACCCAATTGGTGCTCAACCAGAGGACGCCAAAAGGGTACAGCTCAAAAACAATGCACTATCAAAGTAATGAGGGCTCGGGGTGAGCATCTACATCATTGGACCTCCTTTGCCAGTACCAAAATATAATAATAGGGTTAAATTTCGATTTAAAGCTTTCGTGACTGCAGGGATTCATCTTCTTGGTTCTTTCGGTAAAATCACGTAGAAGGGAAATAATAAAAGAATAAAAGAAAATATGTTTATTATTAGTTAAATATAATGTTTAATTTTTATTATTTTATTATTTCCCTTCTACGTGACTTTACCGAAAGAACCAAGAAGGTAATAACAGGGTTTTTTCCCCTTTTTTCTGGCGTCCTCTGGTCGAGCACCAATTGGGTCGAGGTTCAAAAGAAAGCCGTCCCTTGGTGTGGACCAATCAGTTTCAAGGACAATGCATATATTATCATAGTGTGTTTTTTTTGTATTTGACTGCAAGTATTGTGGTTAATGCAGACATGAATTCTTGTAAAAAGGTTTCAGTTTGTTGCCAAAAAAAGTGGAAACCCCTCTTATTACCTCAACGACGTTTTAAACCATGCATATCGAACTGCCGTCAATAATGGACGATACTTTGACGGACACCTGGAAGTAGACATAGTATTGTGGCGTATGAAGTTTCGTGAAACAATTTAAAGGGTGATATTTAGTTTACGTTTTTCTTTACACTAAACAGCTAATGACTTGCTCTGTCATTCACGGTAATCTGCGGACCGCAGGTTGGGAACCTCTGTTTCTTGCCATTTACCAATTTAACCAAAATATAAATTATTCTGCTCACGTTGTACATGCATTAACTCATGCGTTAAAGAATTGATAGTTCACAACTGATGCAATTTTTTGGCAAATGTTACGTGTGGGCTAATGAACGAGACAGAACAAACAGTACAACGTCACATTCCAGACTCGCTGGGGACTTCTACAGGTGGATACGTGAATATCCGTGGACATTGACAATTATTCGACCATGCACAAATAGTTTTGCTGGAGATAAAAAATCTTGCGCAAACTGCTTTACACATGGGGAAACATTTGACTACTAGCCTTTTGCCCGTCCGAGGACGGGTGTATTGCAGTAAATCTGAAACTTGCAAACGAAAAGCAGACCGCGACATGATATTCATTGCATCCATTCGTGTGCAATTTGTAAGGGCGCGGTGGCACAGTCCGATTTCATTTAAAGGTTATAATCCCTTGTTCATCATGACGTCCTTTTTACTTCGATGTCTCAACAGCGTTACGGAGATCACGTGATGACGTGAGGGTTCTGCCTTTGTCGTGAGGGTTGTGAGTTGACGCCGAGGAGGGGGGAGGAGGCGCCTCTCCCACCACGTGGAATGACGTCACCCGCTCATGATTATTAATGATGGGATGTCCATTTGGAGGACGTCACCTGTTCATGATTGTTAATGAGGGGGGCTGTTCAATGTGGAGTGACGTCACCTACTCATTATTATGAATGGGGGGGGGGGCGCTTCTCCATGCGGAGTGACATTATTAATGAGGGGTTGGTCGACGTAGAGTGACGTCACGCGCGTTACACACTGACATTCTTGGGTAAATATTGTAGTAGAAGCAATGTACTAGAAAATGAGTCACACCGTGCACAAATACCTCATTGGGTGTGGGGCGGTGCATTTGCCAGGGTGGATATGCAATGGTCGGATATGCGACTGTATAAAAGATCGACAATACCAACAAGATGGAAAACGATTATTAAAAAAAGAATCATTTAATCGTGACCCCCAAATTGTGACAATTCATTGAGTCCTTGCAAGTCTCAGACCTGCGCTATTAGTACTTGCGAGGTAGTTCGTGTGTATCCCATAATGCTTGGCAACGCACATTTATCGTGATGAAAATCTTCCGCTGTGACCATTTGAATAATTATTTCTTTTAGGCATTTTGTCGGGGTCGCTGGCCCCCGAGATCCCTCCCTCTGTACCGCTAACGGTCGGGTTAACCTCATTATTAACCTCATTACTCGCCCCCTCGCTACTAGGCGAACCGCTGTTGGGTTCTTCACCCATGGGGTGAGAGCCGTCGCTCGAGGATTCCCCTCCCCCGCGGGTCCGCGTAATAGGCATGGTTAATTACGTACGCGCACACCCACACACAGCTCTGCGCGGCACTCACTCAATACCGACCACTCACGTTAGGATCGCGCACCTGTATTATACACGTAGTGAACGTGCGCGCGCACACGCATACAGCTCCACACGCGATACCCACTCTTGCGCCGCTCTGCGCAGCGCTCGCCGCCTGCTGGCCGCTTACGTTATGATCGCGCACCTGGGGTACGCCGATTACGCACGCCGCGAGCTTACGCACACACAGTACCACACGCGTTCCCACACGCTCACACTGCACGACAAGATCACGCGAGACCACGCTTCGCTATTAATGATTTATTACCTGGTACTAATGTTGAATCAGTGAGTCGACGAGGCTGGCCTATTCCCCTAAACCGGCACCTATTCCCTATTTATCGGCTATTATCTTACTTCACCTCCCCACTCCCTGTTTGGCGCCCGCGGAGGTTCGCTGCTCCCTGCGCTAACAACGTACCTCGATGCGTCTCACGGACGTCCGGGTCGCTGGCTGGAGCTGCTGCTGGTCCGCTGGCCTGGAGAGAAGAGAGCGATTTCCCCTCTGCGCCCCTCTATTTATCCTCCCTACCTCAAAGGGGATGCTGCGCTGAACAATGGGCTCGTGCACCTCGAGCCCGCGCACGGCGGTTCCGGGCGCTGTTGATATGCTAATCAGTGTGCGGCGTGCAAGGCGTAAATCCTAGTTAATCCCTTACCCTTCCTAACAATGGGGCCTGCGCGCTCAAGCGTAATTATCCCAACCCTCCATGACTATGCGCAACAGCTCCTGCGGTCCCGCTATTCATGCTGTCCCGTCCCTCCCCTGCTTGCCCCGTCGACCCGTGGGGGTGTGTGTGGGGGGAAATGCGCCTCAACCGCGGTGGCCGAATGCCCCATGCCGCGACCACACCATATTAAGGCTGGTCGCAGCGCCGCGGTGCCACGTAGCACGGGGGAGGTCATCCAATTCCCTGATCGCCGGAAACCGTGAGAGTTAACCCCGATAAGGGTTTCTCGGATAAAAACCGGTCGGCCAGGTGACCTCCCCTCGGAGCTCTATGGGGGGGGGGGGGGAAATGCGTGCGGGTGTGTTCGTGTGAGGTGAGGTGAGGGGGACGCGGGGTTGGCTCCGTTGCTTGGTGGTGGCGAGGTCGGGGATTTGGGCGCCTGCCGAACGGCTTCGTGGCGGCGGCATCACAATTTCCCCCTTTTATTTGTTAAAACCTCAAGCAGCATGAACGAGATTAATTGTTGAAAATGTTTTATGCAACCAGCCACTCGTCTGTACACTTGTTATGCTAACAGTTGTGTCCAACCAGTCGATGTCAGCTCATGTATGTATGTTGTTGAACTTCTTTTGCATCGTACATAACCAACCATGCTATTCCGAGGTTGCGGGGGAAGGACAACAAACTAGACACGAAAAGGTGGAACCGTCACAGCCCGACAGCTGTATCAAGTAAATAAGAGATTTACAGGAGATACCGTAATCTCTCATTTACTTGATACAGCTGTCGTGGCTGTGACGGTACCACCTGAAGACGGAAGCTTGTGTTGCCTCCGAAACGTCGTGATTTTTATTTATTTTACTTTTATTCATTTTAATTTTTTACCTACGTGACTTTACCGAAAAAAACTAAGAATATGAATCCTTGCAGTCACGAAAGCTTCAAATCTAGAATAGGCACGAAAATCATTTCTAAAGAAATTCGTTTTCAATTAAGACTTGGCTCCTTAGAAAAAGGAAACGAAAGCAGAATAGACGACCACCGCGTTTAATTAGCAGCGGGTGATACTTGGACGTTACAGGTGTGTCGGCTCTACTTGAATGCTAAGGCATCAACTAGTTCTATTGCAGCACACTCCCATTATTTGTAACATCGTTTACCAATGTCCATGTGCCATGCCGCACACAGAACATCCGTTTTTTGCTGTTCAATGCACAACAATTCTTGTCTCGGTGAGTCGATTTCAAAGATTAGCGTCACCGTTCTATTTTAGTGATGCATTGTCTTACATTTTATCGTGGAACGGTAGTACCTCTTATTCGTAACAGAATCGTAGTAGTATTTTATTGTGGAACGTACTAATTTGTTTTATTTATTTCTGAGTAGATCACAATTGTCCTTGAAACTTCTGACACTTTATTCATTACCAATTGGTTATACCGTACAAGCTTTTAAGAAACGAATTAATTCAGGTCTCAAGATAGGGTATTAGGTGCATTAAAGCACACTCATAGAAAAGATTTGCCTTGACCCAAAATCATCGTTTAATCGTCTATATCGTGCTTTGCATGGATTAAGACTTGTCCAAAACCGAATGCACGTCAAAATAACAACGTATTTATTTACTAATTAAGTCCCTTTGAGTCTCACTTTTTAAGAGGCTTGGCCAATTCCTGATCAAGTATTGACATGTGTGGGAGGAAACCTAAAAAACAAATCAACAGCTAGGTCAACATCTTACTTGCTACTCTGCCATATACTTGGACACCTTATAGCCCTGCAGGTGAGTGTCGTACAAGTGAGCCACCAACTCTGCTGGATTCTGATTTCCGTCGCTGGAAAACGTTCATGCGGGCCTTGCGTGAGCAGTGCGCATGTAAAGTGCCAGAGCTGAATGGCGACACGGCCTACACCGCTATCTAGTCCCAGCTACCTATACAGTGAAATGTTTCACACCACCAGATTTACATTTTTTCATGAAGTATATTTTAATTACAGGAGGAATTTTTTATTTTTTTTATTATATCATATAGTGTTCTAACATATATGATGGCATTAGTTTCTACAGCTATAAGGTTATATATATTAATCTGCATATGTGCATGTCTCTGCGCCCGATATGTGTCCGTGCATGTTTTATAGAGAATCTCTGTCACCCGATGCATGTACTTCCAGATGGACCTTTTCGAGTACAGCAGGGGTGGGGGGAGCCTTATCTTGAATGAGGACCGAATAGAACTTTTAAAATACCTTAGGTAAGACAGCCACACATTAAAGCTACCGCCTCAGTCACCTGTCACTGCAAGAGGCGTATGCAGTGACATAAGTGTTTGAGAGTGCTAAAATTAGAAAAGCAGTGTCACCAATTGAAAAATATTCCCCTCTAGTACCCGATCAGTGAGGCTAAAAGACGCTCGCAGTGATGGAAAACATAATTTGCAGCCTGTTTGTAAGTGGTTGGCTTCACGTGACCGTAGGCCTTATGAAGTGATGTCGCAGGTTGCACACAGCCTCGGGTGCTATGTGTTCCCCACCCCAGGGGGGAAAGGAGCATTCACGTAATTCACTTTGGAATACCTCAATGAGCCTCTCATCACAACGGCAAGATATCCGTGCAGGCTACATGGAGACAGGTATGCCCATCATCATGTGTTACTCCTAATGAACATATCTGTACAAATGTAACTTTCCCAGCATTGATCAGCTGGGGTGAATGTAAAAAAAAAACGAGCGGAAAACCAGATGGGATTTTGTCCAATTGTTGGTGACCGAGCTGAACGCATCAAACCTTTTCTCTGCTTGAGAATGTGGTTTAATTTAGACAGAATGGACCCATGATCACAGAGGTGCGGGCTTCATGCTGCCACAGGTACAGCAATAAACCCAATGCACCCATTCACATATATGGCTATGTATGCGTATGTGTCTTTGCGCCTGTGTCTGCAGAGTACTCTTGTCTCTGTGTCCTCGTGATGGCACGTGTCACGTGCCCTGGTTTCAGTAGTACATGTTCTGCGCCCACCAAGCTGTGGAGACACACACACACACACGGGACAATCGTGGTTATTCGTGCGGCATGATCATGTGTGTGTGTGTGTGTGCCTGGTGCTATTAAAGTGACTGTACGATGGATGGACTAGGCCCTCGGGAATATTGCAGGCGATTTTGTCGTAGATCTTAGGTAGCAGTTAGACTTCCACACTCGTAGAACACAGCAGAGCGCTGTTCTCATCGCCAAACATCATTCATGTAGGCAGGGCCAGCAGGGTCGTTGGACCGTACAGTGGGAGTGCAGTGTGTACTGCATGTACACTGTCTGATAACAGAGGCAGAACGGTATATGTGTGCATATGTACACTATTGCTGTGTATGGGGAGCGGAAGTGTAGTGGTTAGTGTGCTGCGCTACAAACCAGGTAACATGAGTTCAATTCCCGCTCAGGACCAACACCAATGACAATTATCTGAACCAGTTCTGGGCCTCCCATAGGTTGACTCAGTCTCAAATGATGTATAAACATCATCACAGGGAGACAAAGGCGGCCGGGTGTGTTGCTGGCCATCCCACCGCCATGCCAACCTGCATAGGTGCTCACTAACAGCACTTGCCCTAATGGTGTCAATGCTATATGGGGGATCAATGTCTTTATTACTGTGTGATAATAGATGCTGCGCAATACATGTCAGCGTGTCGACTTACACTCGGGATATCTCCGGATGAAGAATTTGCGCATCTCGTCGTACAGCCAGATGAAGATGGCGTATGATATCGCCACAAACCACCAGCCCACTCTGCATGCAACCACACGCACAATACACAAAGTAGGTATGAAACATCTGGTCAGATGTGCACTGTGACAGCCTTCATAGATGCTCGATAAAAGTACTTGCCCAAACAGTCGATAATGTATGGGTCCTTGTCTTACATGTCACGACTTACCGGAGTGGCATGAAGTGCAGGCCCTCATCCATGCCCGGGCAGTAGGACAGGAAGGCAGCGATCACCAGCTGAGAGAGCATCCCCAGCAACACTACCTTGTTCCTGCAAGGATGCACAGCACAGCAGACGATTAATTTGAGTTGACTCTAAACCCTAGAGCTCGAACCCCTAACCGCAGCACCACCCATATTAGTATAATATAGTAGTAAGCAGGCAAATATCTATTTGCCTGCTTAAACTAATTCTCTTGGAAAATCCAGGTCCACAAGGCTGTAAGGCTGGTGGGCAAAAAAGGTATGTGAAGAAATAGAAATGTAGTCTGTTATTTATTAACCATGATCCTCCACGATGGTGCACACAGAGGAAACGCCCACCGTCTCCTCTCTGTACAGACTTCAACTTTACGGAAGGAGGAATGAAGATGCTACACTTTCCTGACCCAAGCAAGGACTTGGCAAACCAGGGGGTTGTGATTGGACCATGGGCATGAGAACATAGCAGGAGAAGGGGAGAGGGGGTGGCTGCCTTCTAACTTACGGAACAGGGGTGCAAGCCGTATGCTCAGTAGCCTTCATTGGTCTCCTTGACTACTCAACATGAACAACCATGGCCAGGAAATGCAAAACTGCGATGGACAGAAGTTGCGGAGGTTTCAAACGAAGGGTAATGTAAGGTTGGGTGGCATTGCCCAAGCAAATTCCCAGGTGATACCAGTTTGTCCGGTGGGAGGGGACCAAAACGTAACATCGTTTTTCGTTGGATATCTCATTCCTGCAATCCAGAAATAATGGCCAATAATACTGAATGTATTCTTCCCGGTCAAAAATTCGGTTAATTGAATGATGACATGAGGCCAGCTTCGAGCGCTTTCTTTCCCCATGTTGTTCTACTCTTTGCCTCTTCTCTAAGTAGCATTCACCTTGCAATTCCTGGAATTATTTGGGGTCAATTCCTGACACGGGCGGTGACCGTGGGTAGCGACATTCCAGCCTGAGTTACCTAAAAAGGCCTTGTGTGAAGAGTGAGTTCCGGCGAGTTTTGCGGATGACGAGGTCGGCGAGTTGCTGGATGACGATGGCGATGAAGAAGGCCGTGTAGCACACGAACTCCTGTTTCTGCCGCTGCACGAAGGTCTGCATGCGCGCGGACACAGGCGTACGGCTCAGGGCGCTGCACGACGTCTGACCACAACTCCTGTGTCCTCGGGAAAAGTTATGTTTCGAGTTTATTTTGTTTAACCAGGTGTGTGTGCAATCCCATTGAGTAACGTGGAGGCAATTTTCAAATTTGGTAAAAGAATGCCTGAAAGTGCCTATGTTGGGCCTAGTAATTGTCCTGGTATATTTTTTTACAAATTATTTCAATTGTGCTCTCAGCATCAGAAATCTCGCGGAAATTGTGTCGGGGAACAGCTACGGTAAGATATTTTTCACAGGGCTTCTAAAAATCCTTCAAGTCGCCTTGTTCAGCTTTAGCCCTGCATCGTAGGGAGCACTCTCTCCCATACATTCTGCTACAAGTGTTTGTTGGATTAACTCAAACCAATATATTCAAGTTTTGGAGCTTTAAATTAGGCGTGCGATAGTTTTTTCTGTGCAGATCATAAGTGAGTGCGTCCAATGCATGATGCCTGGACACACCCAACAGAAATGCCTGCTAAATAATATTTCCTGTTTTTGTTAAAATGAACGATATACAGGTAGACCTCGCTCAGCACGACCCTGTAGAATGCCGAGTCATTACGGTGGTCTTGGTACTGTTGGAAATTTTGTACTAAAAAAATGAAAATACTAAAATCTACAAGGTGCTTAAGAGTGAGAACACGCAGTGCCAAGGAAACGCACCCACCGCCAGATAATTTGATGACATTTGCTCAGCCAATGTTAGTGATGTACGCTGAGCCAAACAGCACCCACCTCCCATAAATTTAATTATCACGATTCATGGTAATGATTGCATTGCATTGAAAAAAAGATATAGACATTGTTTTCAATGTTATTACAGAATTGTTATTTAATGCTAAGACACTACGCACTGAGCCACGCAGTGCTCGCCGACGTGTTTACTCCGCCTTAGTGTTTCTCTGCCTTATTTTTGTGTGTTTTTGTGAGCGTTTTAGACCCATCATCTCTGGAAAAAAGCTCGCAAGTGTTAGTGCTGGAAATTTGACCAAAGTGTTAACGAAAAGTATCACTTCGGAGCATCAGATGTATGCACTGGTGAGTACAGTACATAATACTGATGTTATAATTAAAACAACAATATTTTTACTTATTAAATGTTTACCATCTGTGTGTTATTGTTAGCACTATTACCGATACCCCAATGAAGCCGTCGGAAATGAATTTCGATATATGCAATGGTGTAATGGCCCCTTTTAGCACCGATTCCATTAGTGCTCACTTCTACATATTCATGCATCTTGAGCGCTAAGCGAGGTCTAAAGTGTATTGTTTTTCAAGAAGCAGTACACGCGCGTGAAGGCGGCGCTGGTGCCGGCGTGTGCTGCTGCATGCGGAGTGAGCGTGTGGCACGCACCCACTCTTGTCCATACGAGTCCTCCAACTCCTGCTCATCCACCTGCTCCCAGTGCTGGCGCAAGCCGATGCATGTGGTCGGAAGCCAGCCTTCCTCGGCCATCACCGTGAAGTAGCCGAGGAATGCCCCCACCGCCTGCGTCACACCTGCGGGCACGCACAGGTTGCACTCGTGGGTCACACAACACAAATAAAAACGTCCCGTCGTGTCGTCTTTAACAGACTGTTGGGGCAAGGGATGCTAGCAAGCAGCTATGAAGGCCGGCACAGCACATGAGCGAATGGGTGGCCAGCACCACGTCCAGCCGCCTTTGTCTCCCAGTGCCGATGTCTTACGCACCGAGTACTCATTTGAGGCTGAGTCGACCTCGGGGAAGCCCAGGACTGGTTCAAATATTTGCCGCTGTTATTAGTCACGAGTGGAATTGAACTCTGGTCGCTGGATTTGTGGTGCACGTTATAACCCACCGGGTTACACACACCCATACGTGTACGTACATGTACAGACCTTTGTCAGCCCACTGCAGGATGAGAGCTTCCCCATGCTGTGTGGATCGTGCGAGATTATTTGACCATACGTCACTATGCTTGTCGTGAGGGTTGGCGATGGTCAGGAGCATAGACAAGGGAACAAAGTACAGTACAACAACGGATTTTGCTGCACAGCCCTATGCTGCCCAGCACATGACCGTGCAGTCTATGACACCTGTTATTATACATGGTGGTCTCCCATCAAAACATTATCCAGGCTCAAACCTGTTACCTACAAAGATCTGATGAGATCAGTGCATGATGAGTAATTTGGTCGTAGGCATATACAAAGAGAATGACAATCGAGCCCTGGAGCAACTTTGCAATTGTAACTGGGAAACGGTAAAACATTATGAAGATTCAAACTGTGGAACGTAAATATTGATGTATAGAAGACAAGATGAGTCGAGTCGATCATCAGGAGGGATTTGAATTAAGTTGCGATTACGTGTTGAGATTTTAACCGCCGTACCACCTGGCGTTATGTAGCACAGATTCCCTGGCATCCCTTTTCCACTGTACATCCAGGCCGCACTGGGGCTGTGCCAAGCCATGTTGTTTTTCCACTGCAGAATCTGAACTCGTGCCGCTGATGTCGCACGCAATGAACGCACGACGTCAGTGGCACACGTTTGTCAAGTGTACTAACTAACGGAAAAATTATAAACCACACCCCTGGCCCTGCTTGGCCCCGAAACAGATTTCGATGTCTTCTTGTGAAGCCTGGCTTGGAAAAAATCACCCATACTGGCGCAGCTCGGGTGTGGCAGTGGAAAAGGGTGAGTGAACCCGCAGGCAGGCGAGCGGCACTCACCGATCTGCAGGTAGGAGTAGGTGGCGAGTTTCGAGTTCACCAGGTGGTCGGTGCGAGCATTGCGCGGTCGCCGGTTCATGATGTCGCTCTCGGATTTCTCATAGGCCAGAGCGATAGATGGGATCTGCGCGCGTACACGCGGAGTGGAACAGAATGAGCGAGTTCACTTCCAGCCCAGCTGGAATTAGCGTTGCATACACTTTGCACGGAGCAGTATGCACAGGTAGCTCTCTAACCACACGTAGATTTCATTCACCTCCACCGGAACTGAAATGTTTGGAGGATATCTTTCCATCGGTTGATGGATGCAGCCATCGTGAATGTTGCACAAATTACTCTGCTCATAATGCAGTGAGACCTTGCAGAGCCAGATTTGCGTAGGCCTATATTTTGGGTAAGCTATGAGGCTTCCAGAAATAAAGAATAAATAAATGTTTTGTTTTAAATGTAAATGTCAAATATTTAACAAAAGCCATAAATCCAACTGGAACTCTATTTATGCACTAATGAAGCTGCGACTTGTATAAGGCGGAGGAGTGTGCGTGTACACGAGCAATTCTAAACCGAAAAATAAAAACATATCTATGTAAATTGCCAATAAGTGCTCTGGAATGTCACATGCTCTACTAAGTGCTCTCTCGTTTTCCTGTTCATTACTTTATCTTTTGTTTTATAAATAAGCTCAATAAATATTTCATGCACTCATCCAGTGAACCTCAACCATCTACCTGCCTCTGCTTCGGTGCTACGCTAGCGAGATGTTAATTACCTCACCTCGTATACAGGAGGTTGTGGGTTCATCCGTGGCAGTCGTGACTGTAGTCTCATTTATGTAAGGACGTGCATACACTGACAACGCGGCCGATCCCTACAACTTCAGCGCCAGATGCTAGCCTGATGATAAAGAAGGGGCGCTAAAGACATGCCTCCCTGGCGTCTACTGTGCGGCTCATCTTCTTTGAGTTACTGCCATTAATAAGATCGCCACTTGCTAGACTCCACCAACCGCGCACTGAGTCATATAGATCATCGCCCTAATTGGAGATGCCCCGACAGGGGCTAGTTGCGTTTGAGAGGACAACACCGTGCTGGCGTCGCTGATCCGAGAGAGAGGTCGCTAATCGATAAGCTCCGTGAAACTGGGCGCTCCCGTCTTCACTCTTAGCTAGAGGATAGCACTGACTAAACAGCTCACATAAGACGGAATTCAGCGAATCTGAGACTGATCCGCTCAAATAATCAATAAACTGGGAGATATTCATATCATCTCCCCGCGCTGTTCCGGGTACGGTGTCAATTGGGATAGGACGGATCGATCCGGGTCATGGCTGCCTCAGGCAGGCGCACTCATGTGGCCTAATCTGGCATCAGTTACAGGGTATACAAATTCCCCGGTACTAGGGGCCATAGTAACTGCTAGAGCCCGCTTCAGCTAATTTACGAACGTGAGCTGTAGATTAGGTTCCCCGCTAGAATTGGGACTTGTAAGGTTGATAAAGCCGGTCGGTTACTTAGACAACACCGTTATTAGCTTTATGACGTAACTGTGCTACGCTAAGCGATTAAACCAGTGATTGCATTGCAACATCCGTGCAGATCGCGGAGTACGATGACTCCTGCCGCCTAATGCGGCTCTGCTCCAGTGGCTGCGGAACCAGCGTTCGCGGACTCAAAAGAAGGAAATCTGGCGTGCCATTTCTATGGCTCCTAGTCGTTTACGGACCGGCCGGATTGAGGTAAACGTGGTACAACCTTTCCAACAAAATGAAAGGGTGTAATAACTTTAGACGTTATATCACGCAGATAGCGACCAGTGTGTCTGCTGACCTATAATATATCGGCTACCACATGCTACTTCAAATAATTTACGCATGAAGGCTCTATGTAGCTCAAGTCTATCGGGGATTCTCGCTCATTATTCAAAGGGTTGCATTCGCTGGAAGTTCGTTGTCGATAAAAGTAGACTCTGGAGCATTGTAGCGTGTCCTTGATCAGGGATGTCAAGCAGGCTAACTCGGAAGTTTTCTATGCACGGGGGGCCGGCTTCGGACCCGTCTAGCAATCTGAAGCCCTTTTGATGCGAGCTCTAGATAATTTTAATAGAAGCTGGCCTGGGGCGTCTCTAACTTGACGCTCCCGGATACATGGACGAGCCTCTGATATTATCCAAGGTTTGTGTCCATAGGCCCACAATAATAAATAATTAAGTCTCCTACATATGGCATTAGCCTTAAAGCATATATGCGAGTTTTACCAGGGTTAGGCTATTCGGATAAACCCCTTCGCCATATAGGTCATGGCATCTCCCTGCGTAACTTTCTAAGAACGAGTAATGGGGATCTTTAGTTAGTGATTGCAGCCGAAAAGGTTCACACTTGCATGACCAGGACCTATACTTGCAAGTCCATGATATTAAATCCCATGAGTTCCTTAGGGTCCCCCGTCATTGGTGGTTGTGCGGTGACGAACGCTTGCCACTTTATCGCATTAGGCTTGTATCGAGCTGTCGCGGACAGTTCAAAGTGAGGATCTGGACTTGGTTCTTTAGACGCAGAAGGGCGATGTGGCATAGGAGGTACACGGTGTCAAGCAGGACCCACACGCCGCAGGTGGATTAAATAGATGTGTCTACTTCCAACCAATACTTGTATCTTAATACCGCGGTGGCAGGCTCAACCTTGGGATGCTATTGATTTAGTGGAGCGTTGACGTCGTTGTGAGTGACGCATATTAACATCGGTCTAGACTATTCTACCACCCAATCCGATGCAGCAGCCGACAAAACGGCGCATACATAGTTCCTCCCCGAAAACGAATGTCTTGCGGAACATTTCTTTGACTGCCTATCAGAGGCACTGGCCGGTGTTGTAGTGCGGCATTTCGTCGCCACGGGCCAATTAGCTTTTGGCCCCGCGGTCCTTCATCGACAAAGCCAGTTGCCTGCTCTTTCACAATGTGTTTTGAGCAGGTGCGCCTTTAAATGGCGAACACCGTCCCGCAATGTCGACTCTTTCCAGTCCAGTATACTCCATCATGTCATTAGAGCGATACCGAAATCTACCAGCTGTCCCGTACGTGACTCGGCTGGGCCACCATATTATGGTTTAGATAGGTAATCCCCTGGGAGCAGCGGCATAGAAACCAGTCTCGACGATCTCCCAACTCTCGCGTGTATAGTATCGAGTAACCTTTCGGGCTCGGTCAGAACTTTATGAGATTTATCACGACAAAAGGTTCTTCGAACATCCAAGACAGTTATATTGCCTATGAGCTTTTGGTGAGCATCCGGTAGAGCAATGGGTTAAAAGAAGCTAGATCATCCCCTTAATGTTTAAAATCCGCTAAGGTCTGTAGAAGAGGTTCCAGTAACGATACTAGCAAAGTCGGCTTTTGCTGGTACTTGTGCGTCGCTACCCGGATTCCGAAAGTAAAGCGAGGCACGGCATCCGTCGATCCCAACAAGTTCGGCTAGATACCAGCTTCGTTGCTATGATTTATGATGATCGCCTTTACTTCCGTAGATACCCGCGTCTTTGTTCGCTGACCATGCATGAGCCGAGGTGCAACGCCGTAAGCGATGGTCAGTTCAATAGTCTGGTCTCTTGGTTTCTGACCCTCAGGGTAGGCAACCCCAGTTTAGTTTCCCCTCCCATCAACATGTGGCTCGCCTATATATCTCGGACCGCTTACGTGCGATGGCTAGACGATCATCGCACAGTAGCTTATGATTAATGCAATCAAGTTCAAAAATCTAAGCACATCAACGATCTGACGTGATGCTTATGGTAGTCAGGGGAGAAAAGCTCTGGGATTTCTTCCGCCAGATGCAGATCTCCTATATTCCTCGTAGTGTAAGTAACTAAATCGTAAACTAAGCGTCGCTGCTCCCGGTGATACAGGCCACTCGTAAGCGCGAAGATCTAGATTTAACAGAGGCTCGTAACACATTGCCGGGGTAGGCGGGACCATCTAGCGCCTCTAGATGCCTTCCACCTCTGAGGTCAAGGGAGAACACCCGAGCACCGTAGGACCATTAGATCGAATCTGGCTTCCCGCGGCCCTCCGTGCAGCTAAGCCACACGGGAATGTCCATGCGCCACCGGCTAACATCGCCCGCAAGAATCGTGCCACGCTTGACGGAATCTGATTGATCTCCCCCCCGCGATGGTAGTCGTCTCCTCAAATATTGTGGACTCATTCCTGTTATTCCCGCTAATCCTACATACTGTTGTGGAAAATCGGTTCGAGTCCTTTAACGGCACTTGCTACCAGAAAACGATATGGACATTACGATTTCCAGTTTGTCGTCCGCTTGAGTACATTGCGAAAGTTAGTATCCCTGTGAACGTGTTAAGACCCGTGTAGCGCAGTATGCCTTTATCCTAGATGTTTTTCTTTCCAGGATGGGCAAGATTGGTAAACCGAAAATTACCTCGCAAACGCTGCTTACTGGACTCCTGGAGCTGGAATGATCCACTGCTATGTCGACCGTGGAGGGTCCGTCTTTCGATCAGTTTAGATGTGGGTGCGCATACGGCGGTATTTAGTGCCGTTCAGTTCGCGAACTTCGGTTTTACATTGTGTTAGAAGCAACATATTTCGACACTAAGCGCCTTTACCCTTATCATCGGGTCATGGTCTACTGCTCAGACTCGGGGTAACATCTAGTATCACGGATGGCGCGCAATTGGTACCGGAGAGTGTAAGTCCAGACTCAACATTCGATTCTTGGGGCTATGTTCTAATCTAGCGTTCGCATGAGAATATATCCCACGCTTATCCAGCTCACCAAATGTAGTTTGTTTGCTACTCGCATGGATGGACGCAATTCCATTAACTCGATCTAGCGCACACAGGAGGAGGCAATTAACCTCCAAAGAATGTAAACTCAGTCGAATCAGCCGCTAGTAGGACAAACATCACCATTTTTCGTCATGAAAGTTGCCTTTGACATACGACTTGAGGCTTGCATACTTTGCCCGTAGGCTAGCATCTCTGGCTCTATCAATGTTTCCTTTAGGCAAGTACAGCAAGTTTTATAACGTGGTAAGTCCTTGGAGTGTAAGGATAATATGGAGGAGCATACTAGTTTCCATGAAGCGCCGGCGTCAGTCAGCCCACTGGTTTCATACACCTCTAAACGTGCCACTCCTTTAGCTGGACGAGAGACCCCACTATCCTCTATTACACTTCTCCGACACTAGTTCAGCTGAAATTAGCCAGTTTGACTAGGGCTAGAATCCCCGCCGCGATACAGGGTTCGAGCTAGCAGTGGATTACATTTCTGTCCCGTAGAGACGGTGACTCATCGTTTCTTGTTATCCCAAACTGACAAAGCCCATTATCTATGGGGAAAATGTACTTATACGTAGACCAAGACACGCCTTATGCGTAAGGCTCGATAAATCCTATACGAAGAGACATTACTTAAGGATCACCGCCCCGTACACCCTTAAGTCAGTGCAGCGGTACGCAGCCAAGTGATCGCGTCCCGATAAGGAGAGTATCTGCCCGCCCATGAATCGCCCAAATAACTAGTATACGCAACGATAGTGGACGAGCAGTTGGAACTTTAATTGACGGTATACGGTGAGTAGATTGGACTATGGCCAATTACATGATTGGGCGGTACAACCCAAACACCTAACAGGATCCAATTAGAGTAATATCGCGTAGTAACGTGACTACGCGAGACGCTTGTGATGTCTACTATACCTATGTGGGCATCATTTTTCAGCAATTTTCTTCCAATATGACCTACTACTAGGCTGTGAATGTACGTTGCGGGACTGGACACAGACCATGGACGGAGCCTAAAAACCGGCTGGTCTTAATATGACGGGCTTCATCTCCGTAATGGCGTCCGACGCACGTATCTGCATTCAGTGTAGATGCGATAGAGTCTCTAACTCTGTATGGGTGTGTCCTACCGAGATTGTAGGACCTAAGAGTAAAGATGGGTGGATGGACTTACGGGTACGGGATTTGCAAGCGGGTTACGGCACTTGGCCTATTCGGTCCACCAATTTAAGAGGAATCAGTTCCTTTGCCGTTGTTCATGGGTCTCGATCACGAGCAGTTGAGCGCCCTGTATATCTGCTAGGGCTCCTGTCTGTTAAATTTATTATTTCGACCTCCCTAACCTGAGACAGGACACCTCTATTTCAGGTTAGTATTAAAGGTGATATATACAGGTAGCTTCATAATCTCCCTTTCGTATCGCCAGTTGCTCATCTCGCGCTGCTATGGGAGTGCCCCGGTGTTATGTATCCCGCTATGATCAGCATCGCGAAAATCAAACGTTAGTAACCAGTGCGGTGTAAGTCTAGCGCCTAGCGGAACGTATATTTGCAAGTTTCTTTTGCTTCGGATTAAGACAGAGCAAGAAATGGGAGGCCGATGGTGCTATGGAGTCACTAATGGGGCATTAATATAATTCTCAGAATCCCCGTTTCATCGTGGGCGACTTCATGCGTTGAGGGCACTGATATTTGCCGACTGAATGGTGTACACACAGGCTGGCCTCAGCTCATGAACTGGCCTGATAGCTTCCTGCGTTGGTAGACTAGGCCCGGCTCATATGCAGAGATTTCCCTTCAATGACGCCCGTAGGACAAATAGAATGGGATCACCTGAATCACGCGCTTAGCAATCAAGCGCTCGTAAATAATCAAGCAAGAGAAGGTTCCAATCCTAGCAATGGGGATTTGCTTTTTGGAGTCTCAAGTCCCCACGGTCATATAGTATTGATGCGTGCGCTGATACAGCCGGACTTCCCGCACACGCCGTGTGTACCACACTCAGGCCCATCAGCCGAACGGATCGTTCGTTAATCTTTAGAGATTGACGTTGGCCCCACCTTAGGCAAACTGAACTCTCATATCGGGTCTAGCGTGGACATGAGATCAAGCATCGTGGGTTTCACCCCAACAGGGCTGAGCCCACAAATAGATATATATGCAGGTATAAATAACGGTCGTTATCCTCGTTATTACCAACCGGGCAGGCATGCGAGTAGCAAGACGAGCAGAATCGCCAGTCTGAAAACGTATGCCATCAGGACTCTCTCCGAACTGCAGCATAAGCTCGCCGAGCATTGTAGCAAGAATCAATCTTAAGCAGCCCCTCATCGACCCACTTGGGAGTTTGCACTCAGTGAGTACTCGTGGGCGACACCTTCCCTTCCACTTCTTTAAGGTGATTCACCAAGAGTGTAGACCCCATGCCACGGCCTGTTAGGTGCAGACTCCGACATAGGTGCCAATACGGATGAACAGTTCCTCTAATGTCGATCTGATATTACGAGCGTGTTTGACCGAGTTGCGGGCCACAGATCCGCACACTGGCGGGCGAATAAAGATAGGAATCACCGGGTGACCGAAGATGTATTTATCTGGGAGGGCGGCCAGTTGTATTCATCATCCGGATATCTCCAAAGTGGTATGCGGTTTGGAGTCAATTACAAGTCCGCTGATACATTAGACTAGCCCACATGCCAAGACTGACTCCGTGGGTGGAGCAATCTCTCGAATCCTTGTTTTTTAAGATCCCTGTTATATCGAAGCCCACC